TAAATATATATATATATATTTGTATATATATATATATATGCTTACATACATGTAAAATATTGTTGATATATTGTGATGCCTAGTAATAAAGCCCAGTAAGAAAAGAGTTGTAGGCTGCTCGACTAATCCTGTGGGGTATCTCAAAACTATAACCGACAGTCACGAGGCCTCTGCCCCTGACCTCACCTCCCCATTATTTATTTATTACTCTCTCTCTAGAGAGAGAGAGAGAGAGAGATAGAGACGATAGAGGTGGGGGGGGGGGGCGGGGTGAGAGAGAAAGGACTTAGTGGCCACGTAGTCGGACTGGCACGCTGTATTGAACCCTTATTCCATTGGGCGCGAGCAGGGAGATAGAGGCTGCTACATAGACTATTATCATTGTTATGTAACTATGTCTTATGTTCATTATGTCTTATGTTCATATGTCATGTGAGTTGTGACACTGTGAGTTGCTGAGTTTGTCACAGTAGTACACAGCCTATACAGCAGCACACAGTACACATTATAAGCTTACAGCCTCTCACAGACTCACAGAGTCACAGGACTCAAGCTCGGAGTGTCGGACTTGTGTCGCGTCACACGCGTGTCTGTGTCCTGATTCCTGAACTCCTGATGCTTTTTTGTTTTTAATAGTTTTCTTTTTTATTTATTTATTTTTAGTGGCTTGCTTCATAAAATAGCCCAATATAAGCCCCCTCTAAATAAAATTGAACATTTGCTTTTAATTTTCAGATCTGATCTGCGCTAATATTTATTGAAAAAATAGATCTGCGTACGTGATGACACGTTTTTATATTTTTATATTTGTAAATATTTTTGTGGATTATAAAAATAAAGCACAGCCTTGAGCCTTTCTACTTTCACCATTTAATTATTTATTTATACATGTGAAATTGTGAATGCACTATAATTTAAAAGATACACGGACTGAAAATAAATACTGGTCATATTAAAATAACAGGAAAAGTGGTCAGTATTGAAATACATAGTTGTCTTATTTCGGAAATATTGTCTCATTTCTCGACAATGGCGCTCAAACAAATGAAACAACCAATATTTTTTGCGCTCTACCGCCTGCTTGTCTTTTTACGGACCTGAATAGTTAGAGTCCAAACAAACCTATTCCAATTGTTGAGCATAATTCGCTGAAACAAGCAAATGCCACAGACTGTTTTATTACATACATTGACGATCGTTCATCAGCTCTGCCGGTCGACTCCGCCCTTCTCAGTACAAGGAATGATGAGCCTTGGATATACAATGATATATCTAGGAACATGTATATCTAGAGTATCAACGCACTCTGGCAAGGTGGCCGGCTCACTTTTAACTATAGGGACATTCATTACTACAACAGGCACCTTGCTATCTTCGTCGAATAGCACCGTTGCTGAGATTGGCATTGCAGTCAAAGGGCTTGGAAAGGTATGCCAGTATTTTATCTCCGTCTCCTTTTATACCGATGCGTAAATTTGTAAATGAGAACTGCATATTTTTACGCGTGAATTTCATTCCATCCAATTGTTTTCTTACCCATCGATTGGTTAATCAATGTACAGACAATAACCGGTACGGCAACGTGCATAACCAAGACTTCCCAATTGCTGGTGAAACTGGGACAATCCGCAGTTATCGTTGGCTCCTTGTTGGTCTTCGCAGGGCCTTATCTATCCGATGCTGTTGAAATTGATACGTCACGATTGAGAAATACAATCAAGAAAGGAAAAAAAAACAAAAAGTGCAGAATCTCATCCAAGAGGAAGCCGAGGTTGTATTGTAGGGGGCCGTATGTGACCACCGACCAGTAACAGAATCTTGGTATTGTTGTCTAGTTGTTCATTGTTGCGGTGTATATCACAGTTTTTCTGACACATGCTCCAATGTGAAGGCTAGTGCGGAATGAAAAACGCGCAAGGGGACAGTGATTGCACTCGAATCTATAGACGTCGAACACACAATGAGCGATCTCTCTATGTGGGTTGACATACGAAGGAATTCAGCATCCGAAACACTAAAAAATATCATCCAGATTGCCAGGATGCAGTCAACTTGGAGAGTTTGACCGAGCGACTATATCAAAAGTAAAATTCTCCCAAATATCCCATACACAAACCGTTTTTTTTAAAGACCAAATGGCAGAATGTGTATTTTATTATTATTTCTAATTATAATTTGGAGAACCACCAAAGGTGTCTTTATATATTGGCACCGCCAACAGTCATATTTTACACCTTAAATATAAAATAGTATTAATACAGTTCTCGTTTTTGGATTTTCTCTCGACACTTGTGTCTTTGTATTTTGTGGTCATCTTTTTCTCTTCTTGATTCTATAGGTGGTGGTACATGTCCTTTCTTAGTTGGTGGAATGATTTGTCGGGTTAATTTTGTTATTCATCGATCTACGAGCCTAGAGATCCACTGTTAAAAGTTGTCATTTATCATTATAAATAATAAAACGACTTTACATATTGAATAAAAATTTATAGTAGTTAAATAGGCGTTATCGCTTCTGGGCAGTACATCCGTTGTAAACAGCTTCAACACCACCCAAAAGACGAATAACAGTACGAGTTTATAGTTCACCGGGGGTCGATTTAATTTTGAATCCAATCAGAACAGCTGGTAGGATTTTTATCTCCTAATTACGGTCAACCAACTACTCTTCCAACTGGTTTTCACCACAAGAAGCCACTGAAAGTCCTCAGACAACTATTAACACTAGAGCCTCTTCTGAATGAATCCAAAGAATCTATTGGTAATGATCCTTCCGCAGTTTGACCTACGGAAACTTTGTTACGACTTTTACTTCTTCTAAATGACCAAGTTTGTCCAAATTCGGGAATCAATGTTGGTGTTGCCACACGAACGAGACCTTAATTAATATATTTAGCGAGAGACAAATAAACGTCAGTTCAATCGTAAATACCTTTGGTTTGATTCACAAGTAGATTAAAATATTCAACATCCGAATACAAACCACACATGTAATTATTATGCAAATAGATACACCGCATTCCGTTGGCCTATATTTCGAGCTATTATTCAAGCTATCACGGATAATTTGTGCCTGTGAAATACTTATTTGCGACGGCTGTTGCATACAATGGTGAGTAGGGGTTCGAATTGAAATTAAGTAACCCTACATCTTTAGTATTTGTGTCGAATAGACTTTCATATCCCAATGTCTGGTATCTGGTATCTACACTTTACCTTTAAAACTCAAAACACAAACATCAGAGCGAATGACTCAGATTATGTGCATATTTAATGTAGACCAACATGACCAGGAGAAAGAATGTTTAAATACACTTTCCCTCGTATCACTTCATTGACGATTCCCTGGGGGTTTGCGTGCCGTACGGGTACGCATAGATATTTTAAACGAGGTAACTGCTTGAGGCGCGCCTAAATTGACTTTCACCAGCAATCTGCCCAACTGTCATGCACCCTCATCCACAGCATACCATTGGACACAAGCGCAGCATTAAAACCGAAATTAGCCATTGTCAGAAACATTGAAACATACATCTCTCTGTAAAACAAAATAAGTTGATCGAAAATCAATGTGCTTATTAGTTGTATTTTCTTTTCGGTACAAATGATCCAAATGGTGGATAGGGCGACCTGGAGCCGGTAATCGTAGCCGGTCTGTTGCTTCGGTGTACTGATATGTGTGTGGTCTGTTTATTACTTCCGTGAATGTAGGGGGTGTGATTTAAAATACTCGATCCTGATTTAAAATACACATAAATAAATGCATTTCGTGATTCAAGACTTAAGAGGACAGAAATTGTTAAATGAACCGAGAAGTGGGCCTGAAAAAATGGGTGCGTAAAAGCCGATTTATTCGAATACAATCTGGCAGACACGCCTGCCAATTGACTCGGGGAATATGAATTGTAATCCAATCCCATTCGTACCCTGAAGTCGTGATATGCCTTACAATGGCATACCTCATAAGTTCTGCTCGCCTTAGTAGTAGTTATAGCTTGCGAGATGCATTATTCACACGGGCTCAGCATAGGGTACAGATCCAGATCTCAGGAAGAGCTGTAAATGTGTGGCTCTACGGAGTTGTAGTTGAGAAACGGCACATGTAGGTCGTCACCATCCAATCACTGAGAAAGCATGCAATCAAAGCCTCACCCTGGTGGTGTACACCGCTGTATATAGCATCAAACCAAAGCCGATCTTCAGAACGATGGCGGCTTGGGGGACAACAATTGAAATTTACTCCATGCCAGATCATTCAATGACACGCGTGTCTTTGGTTCCAAACTGGTTTCTTGTGCATACCCAATACTCTTTCCGAGCCTAAAAGTAATTGAAAAGCTTGGCTGTCACGACAGCAGCGGTTCTTCACCATACAGGCTCTCATTCTTATGCCGCACTGTACGCTATGATACTGCATCTTCATCCTGTGTTGTGTCTAGTCTCCGCTCGAATTAGCGGATTAATCTCAAGATTCTTCGGGCTAAATCCAGAATCAGCCCAATCAACACCGAATATCGCGGCTAAACCGCGCAACACCCGTGGCTAGCTATATAAGCACTCCTATACGAACTGGGAAGAGTCCGACTTCTTAAGACTAGGTGCGCTTGACACCGTGATGTGATGCCCCGGCCCTTTCTTCAGCTCAAAACATGTCTCACAACTACTACAATTGGCCCCAGTGCAGTAAATCCACTATCAATGAATACAATATGACTCATTCACTATGCTATGGTCCGAGACACATCCAATCTTGCCCAACTCCTGGTCTCGCAAGGGTAGCACCTTTTGGACCAGGATATCTTCCAAGTTCATCCAGTAGTTCAAACAAGTCCATTCCAATGATACAATCCTGTCACAGCACCGGGTTTTCCTGCATCACATACTCGTGTTTAAGCCACATCTGAGACAAAATTACATTCTCTTCCTCGCAGTTCGTGCTTGAACCACTATGTCGATGAAAGTCGCAGACCAGAGATTGCTTTCTTGCGGCCAAGCGGCGTATACTCTACAGCAAGATGGGCTTGTATTGCTATGGCGTTGAGTAGTACTTGCGCAGTCGAGTGCTCTTGACAAGGCATACTACACCACTGGAGGCTCTGTACTGTCGGGGACTTTGTGTAAGCTTATAAACTTGTCGAGACCCAATGGCCCCTTTGCCTCCATCGTTTAAGTCCACGATCACACCTCAAGTCCCAAATACATGGCACGGACAAAGTTTATGGTGTGTGCGACGGTTGCTTGGTTTGCCAACATAGTAGGGTAGAAAGCCTGCCTCTCTGCATACCTTCCAAATATCGTGGGTATCACCACTGTGTCTCCAGTTATACATTGATAGCTTTTGGCGGCGTAGCAGGTTCTTGGCTGGATGCCGATCTACAAACTTTGCGGTGTAGTATAGCGCGTACCACGGTTGGTGCCAAATTGTATATATATATATATATATATACATATATACATACATACATACTATACATATACATATATATATATATATACTATATAATTATATATATATATATATATATAATATAAAATGGTATATCCACATGTATCAGATTATGTTCATTCAAAGCTCCTATTCTCCTGCACCCTCACCCGAGCTGAATAGCATGCCCCAGATCCAGGACAAAATGGTCCACAACGGACTAAACAAGGGCAGCGACGGCACTAATCGCTTCTTCAAGATGTATGCCACAGTCAGGGCAAAGAATGACAACCCCAATATGATCAAAGCGTTGTTTATGAACTCGCGTCTCTGCAGTTTAGTGATGACGTGCCTACTATTGTCCAATTCGCCATCCAGCATTTTCATCTCTTCTTTGGTTTTGGTGATCACATTAGATGATTCGGCTGTATGTGGGTACATGTACAGGTGGTATGGATGTGAGAAATGGGGTTGCATGAGTTTCAACCAAAAAAAAAGTATGCGTACGTTGAGTACATTGTGGTATACTAAGATTCTGAGCTTGCGCGTGAGGGTATATGAAAGTAACTTTAAAAATTTCAGTGTATATAAGAAACGAGTTGTAGCACGTTTTTCGATCGTTGAACGTATGTGCGTACGGATTACGCCGCGGCTACAGGCTCATCGCAATTGCAGAGAGTCTTTCAATATTAGTATAACGCGATACAGAGACAGAGTTACTACATAGAAAGGTTGCATTCGTTGCAAGAATACAAGCTAAACACTCATGGTTGTGTAGGTATATGTATTTATAGACTGCGGTGATACTGTGGTCTCGGGAAGGTTAAGCAACTCACACTCGGCTGTGTCCGCTTACGATACTTCGTCATGCTCTGACTCATACCTCAAAGCACTGGTAATATACGATTTATATATGCGGTTGTACAACCATATGTATGAATTGGCGGCTATTGTAGTCAAATAGTTGAAAGTATTTGCAACGCAAGTCTCGGTGTGTCGTAAATAAAAATCATACCCTCCACCCGGTGCAGTAAGCGATTGGGATTCATGTGCAACTGAAAATTGCTTATGTGGAAGGCATTACATACCGTTTCATAACGCCAACACCCGTCTCCACACAGAAACAAACATTCCCCCCCAACTATATATATATATATATATACCTGCATATACCTATATATAGTGCTATGCTTCCAGGAAGAGTCTTGTATCAAACGTGCACACGTACCTAGTTTGCGCTTAGCGGCCAGGCTCTCCTGGATAAGCTCAGCCATGACCTTACTAGCATCCCGCATGGACGCAGAGGCCTGCATTGAAGTGCCGATTAGAGATTTGCCGCTGGACCTGAGGAATAAACTGATGAGTACGGTGTATGCGCACATAAACAAGACATGGAATTGGGTAGAGTGTGGCCACTAGTTGGGACTGGTGAGATGAGGTGTGTGTACACTTGTGTGTGTTGTTTTGCAAAAGCGCCAGGTGTTCACAATCATACCCGTGCGTGCCTTTTGACAAAACTCCTGTAAACCCTTGAATGCGCTGGGTCGTGTGGATATGAGACTGTATGTACATATACGGTTGCAAAGGCGAGTATGCGAGAGGTCGTGCAAGTACCCGAGTATACCATACGTTGCCCCCAAACGAATTCAACTCAGAGAGAATGCCGAGTTTTTACTCTACCGAATCAACTGCTACGTACAATATACTATCCACGCACAACTAAGCGATAGCAACACCAGAAGTTGAACTTGAAGCCAGACCACACTGTAGCGCCTATGTGTAGTGTAAATTTATAACCCTGAACCCTAAATCCCAAAGCCTAGAACTCTCCAGATTGGCTTTCCTACTTGCATACCTACATGTACTTTCTTATCGCTCGTAATTCAACGCAATTGGAGTTTATCAACTACAAGTTACTGATCGCAACCACTCATCCCGATACTAAGCTTATCCATGCCCACAAACACTTGCGCATCCTTCTCAGGATCCACATAAAGTATATGCTCATGTGTACATAAAGTATATACTCATGTTTACATAAAGTATATACTCATGTGTACATAAAGTGTATTCTCATGTGTACATAAAGTGTATGTTGCTCATGTGTACATAAAGTATATGCTCATGTGTACATAAAGTGTATGCTCATGTGTACATAAAGTGTATGCTCATGTGTACATAAAGTGTATGCTCATGTGTACATAAAGTATATACTTATGTGTACATATAGTGTATGCTCATGTATACATAAAGTATATGCTCGTGTGTACATAAAGTATATGCCCACGTGTACATAAAGTATATGCTTATGTGCATATAAAGTAAATGCTCGTGTGTACATAAACGATAAGCTCTTGTGTACATAAAGTGTATGCTCATGTGTACATAAAGTATATGCTCATGTGTACATTAAGTATATGCACATGTGTACATAAAGTGTATGCTCAGGTGTACATAAAGTATATGCTCATGTGTACATAAATATATGCTCATGTGTACATAAAGTATATGCTCATGTGTACATAAAGTATATGCTCATGTGTACATAAAGTGTATGCTCATGTACATAAACGATATGCTCATGTATACATAAAGTATATGCTCATGTGTACATAAACAATAAGCTCTTGTGTACATAAAGTGTATGCTCATGTGTACATAAAGTATATGCTCATGTGTACATTAAGTATATGCACATGTGTACATAAAGTGTATGCTCATGTGTACATAAAGTATATGCTAATGTGTACATAAAGTATATGCTCATGTGTACATAAAGTATATGCTCATGTGTACATAAAGTATATGCTCATGTGTACATAAAGTGTATGCTCGTGTGTACATAATGTATATGCTCATGTGTACATAAAGTATATGCTTATGTGCATATAAAGTAAATGCTCGTGTGTACATAAACGATAAGCTCATGTGTACATAAAGTGTATGCTCATGTGTACATAAAGTATACGCTCAATGTGTACATAAAGTATATTCTCATGTGTACATAAAGTATGTGCTCATGTGTACATAAAGTATATGCTCATGTGTACATAAAGTGTATGCTCATGTGTATATCAAGTATATGCTCATGTCCATGCTGCCCACTTACTTCTGCATTATGCTGCCGTTGAGTAGGCGTTCTCGATCAGCCTTCTGTCTCTGATCAATCCGTTTTTTGGCTTCCATAGCAACCTCTCGCAGTGATCGGTTCATGCTGCACAGTGTGGTGGCGATGTAACGTTTGATTGACATAAACATGGGACACTCGAGCACGTGTTAGAATACAGTATCTACTAAGGCTAATAAGAGCTCGGAACGAATGATATGTGATATGTGCTCTCTAGATAGTGCGATCGGGTTAGGGGATTAGAAACAGGAAGACTCCAAAAACCATACAGTCATACACCCACACGACCAGAAGCCGAACGTGCGAGCGTACACACACAGAGATCAAATGCATTGTGAATGTTTGTATTGGGCAACACGTACAACAACACCACCACAGTCGACACGGTGCAGGGCAAAGTCAGAAAGAATCGCACGATCGGGTTTGAGGGCTCCTGCGAATCCCGTGCAAACGGGCAGAGCTGACACAGCGATAGGTGGAATGGCAAAGTGGCGCATATTAAATGGTGCAAACACATGTACTTGTTATTTCACCTACCGTAGTTTCCCGATATACGCACTACGTAATTCGGAATCAATACTCGGGGACATATCTATGAGAAAAACGGCGGCCAATTGCTTGCAACTGGCCTCAAATTGCCCTCGGCTGTAGTAGACTGCACCCGGAATGCGATCGTATCTTGTGGACCCACAAACATGCACTGTACCAGAATGTTCAATAGCTCCAGAAGTGCTCCAGAACTCACAATAGCAGAATGGACTCATATACAGCCGATGCATAGTATACCAAACAAGACTGGCTTACATAGTAACATGTGACATATGAACAGACTTACCTTGTGACCAGAATTCGCAATAGCAGGATGGACTCATATATAGCCGATGCTTAGTACACCAAACAAGAGTGGCTTACATAGTAACATGTCATATAGGAACAGACTTACCTTGTGACCAGAATTCGCAATAGCAGAATGGACTCACATATAGCCGATGCATAGTATACCAAACAACACTGGCTTACGTAGTGACATGTCGCATAGGAACGAACAGACACACCTTGTGACCAGAACTCGCAATAGCAGAACGGACTCATATATAGCTGATGCATAGTATACCAAACAATACTGGCCTACATAGTAACATGTCACATATGAACGAACAGACATACCTTGTAACATGTCTCTGGGTGCGGCCCGCTCGGGCCAGCATGATTGCCCTGTGACGCTCCTGGTCCTGGTTATTGGCCACGTGCTTCACATCCTGGTTTGTTAGCACCCATAAAATCGAGAGCAAGGTTAAGGTACGAATATAACCAAGTGATTGCATTGGTGTATGATATTCAGCATTTCACTCACAGAATATGAGTTGCGATTAGCTTACAATCATTGTGCACGAATATACTAGTGTTTATGGTAGGCACCTCTGCGGTGGGCAGTGTGAGAGCGGTGGT